TCAGCATCAAATGAGTACATAGTGCAGTGGGTGTATAAACATTGGCGCTTGGGAGACGAAGGCGACCCACCCCCTCGTGCCATACCGGCCTTCATAGGTGCTCGCTAACAAGCGCCTTGCACCAACAGTCTGTCCAGGCCATACAAGGCCTGAACAGACACGTGTAAGTGTACTTATGTGCTAAAGTGCACCAAATATGTGTTGACGTCACTACCATTTGGTGATGAACAGCGGTTGTTGTTGTTGTTGTGTCAATGTTTTAGTGCATGTTTGTTTTGTAAGTGGATGCACCTTACTTGTGTAATACGTCTCATGCGGCTCTCCAGACATTATTAACTGTAAAGGTCATGAAGGGCTTTGTTAAAATCTATATTTAATCCTAAAAAAGTTAAATATATATAAAGAAAATCCTCTATCCGTGCACCTCTCGGTTAAATAAGGTACCATTTCATATTCCTGTTTCGTAAGTGAGAATTCGTTTTGTTTTAGGCTAGGGCTTGAACATTCATAAACATTTCGCCACGATTGAACTTCTCTTCCACTCTTTGCCTTGCCGTGTTTTCTCCTATCTCCTCTCCTGGTTTGCTTGAGCGGGATACTTGCACTTGCGCTTGTTCTGCTGGGCAGCTCTTAAAATCCTACTTTGTTATTCATTCATGTTCCCCGGAGCTAAATTGCGTCTTTTTTATCTTATTTTTGCCGTTTTGAGCAACAATTTGTTGTTTTATTAAGCACCGTGTATTTTTGCCCTCGTCCATTTTGCATTGTTTCTCTCTGGCAAACAACTGCATGCGATGTGCTTCCTTTTTGCCAATATTTCACCGCTTTTGTTTCCTCGTGCCCTATATTTCATCCACATTTCTGTCACAACAGATATTGCTTCAGCTGGAGCTCTGTTATAATTAAAGGCCTACTACGTTCAATCGCTCTGCCCAGTGTTACATTTTGTTTTTGCTGCACCCTCAAGTCCATTTTGTATGAAAGGGCCTCAAATTGCAACAAACTGAGCGGTCCTCGCTTGACCCCTTGCACATACTGTGTGTGGCTGAACGCAGGATAAGGGGGGTCCCCTCTGTTACTCATCTTGAGGGGAGACCTCAGGCAACACTGCAAGTGTGCAATAAGACGGCATGGCATTATTACATGACCACAAGTTGGCTAAATCGTTGGGTCTCGAGGGCCCCCACCACGATCGGATTTCCCTCCCTTTTGTTTTAGACACAACACCACGTCAATGGTTCATGTATTATTTACACGAGGAAAATAATTCTGTATTTGATTTTTGCGTGCGCGGTACTGTATAGCGGCGTGGTGGTTCGATGGTTCGTGCTCCGACCTATGAACCCTGCGACCCGAGTTAAATTTATGTCCGCTGCTAACTGTGATGGCACGGGACATCGTTTGCGAGTGGTCAAGTGATATCAGAACCGGTCCTACCCCTCTGTCCTCACCCCCCTTCTCCCCCCCACCTTTCACCAACCCACACTGACCAGCTTGGTGAAGTATAATGAAAACCAACATGGCACATGGAGGTCTTCATCCAGTGATGCAATGAGAATGGTTGACATTAATTTGATTTGTTTATTATTCATTTACACGTCTTGTGTCACTGTGTCCACCACGGTTCCTCTGACTAAAGGAAGAAAGTTGTTGAAGTACGCAGTTGCTTGTAATCGTCAATTAATGTTTCTCCTTTTTTGAGCTGTCAACGTCTGAATTGTTTATGCCGTGAGATTTCTATACTGCGGGTGTTAATGCCGTTCGTATGAACGCTTCAGGGGATTTGCTTCCAGTATCATGCTGCTTTACATGCAACAACAAAACACACACACACACACACGCAGAGACTTTAAATGTTTTAGCAGCTAACGTTAGTTCACGAAGCCAAGTGTGCACTTACGTGGCAAAATGCAGTGCTCCTGAATCCCCTACGGAAGGCATCAAAGGCCAAATCTGGCACTCCCCTTAAACATTTACACATTAAAAAAATGCACGGCGTGTTTTTTTAAAGTATGAATTTCACCCCACGTTTGTTGGTTAGTGTAGGCAGAGTGCAGTTAGATGTGAGCGCGGGGTGTGTCTGTGTATACACCTGCAGTTGTGGGGAACGCTTAGAGCACTGCGTTACGGAGCCGGAGATCCGAGTTCAATTCCCGCTCATAGCCAACACCGGTGATGATTATCTGAATTGATCCTGGGCCTCCCCAAGGTCAAGTCGGCCTCAAATGAGTACCTGGTGCAGTGTGTAAACAGCACCACTCAGGAGACAAAAGCGGCCGAACGTGGCGCTGGCCACCCATCCTCTCGTGTGCCTCGCCAGCCGTTCATTAGGTGCTTGCTAACAGTACTTGTCCCAACAGTCTTCTGAAGACTATAGAGGGAACCTTTGGCTTTGTATGTGTGTATATATGGGTTGGTGTCTGAGCATGAGTGTGCATACAAATTCGTTCCTGACATTAGCAATTTCTTCATGATTTAGCATAACTTTAGTACCCAGTCGGGTGCAAACTGCAAGGCTAGATAATACAACCCACTGTTCACCATGTTGCAACTTGGTTCCCTCCTGTCACTCCTTCTCTTTACTTCCATGTTAAACCAAAACACAGGGCATACTTGCATCTCTACCTAACTTCCTATGGCACCTCTTGCTCTCACGTGTTTGCACTCTCTTGTTCGATTTGCGTTTGTTTACGTCGCTTTTAGACAAAAACAAACCATAGATCTTACGTGCACCTGAACCTACCTCTGTCATTATGACACTTGCGCTCTCTTTGAGTTGATCGTGCGTCGTTTCCCACACCTACGATGGGCACGGTTGGCTTTGTACGGTGCGAAAGAAGTTCAGCATATTATGACCGTTACATCCATCATTTTTTAGTTGTGCAATATTCCTAAAGGACCCTACACTCATTCTTGGTTCTTTCGGTAAAGTCACGTAGAAGGGAAACAAAATAATAAAAAAATATAAAACAATAAAATTCTCACGACGTTTCGACTGCAACACAAGCAATCATCATCAGGTGTGAAAACCACAGCAATACAATTTTCTTACTATCATCATCAGGTGTGAAAACCACAGCAAGAAAATGTTCTCGCTGTGGTTTTCACACCTGATGATGATTGCTTGTGTTGCAGTTGAAACGTCGTGAGAATTTTATTGTTTTATATTTTTATTTTTTTATTGTTTCCCTTCTACGTGACTTTACCGAAAGAACCAAGAATATGAATCCCTGCAGTCACGAAAGCTTTAAATCAAGACCCTACACTCGTTACGTGCAATATTGACGTGTGTGTCTTCGTTTTGTTGTTGTATGTTTGTTAAACTTCTTTCGCACCGTTCGTAGCCAACGATGCTAATCGGAGTTACTGCTGTGCTCACGAAACCGTGGATCTCCATCATCATATAGCCGGACAACTGGCTAAACGGGGTCATCCGCGAAAAACAAATAAAACCAACTTAAACTTAATGTTGCTCACCAGCTGCACTTTCCTCAAACATCTAACCTGGCTATTGTCGCATCTTTGCTTTAATCCGATTGTGTACATGATCAGGCCGGTGGCTCAGCGCCAGAGTGAGCGGCTCACTTGTCCAAGGCTGCGAGTTCAAATCCTGTTTGGTTGGTTAAAATGAGTACCGCCTTCTGGGAGAACCCAACGATGTGGCTGTCCTATGGATAAACTCGCCTCCACCCATAGGATCGTGGAATTTCCATCCCTGGCTCAGGCCTAAAAATTTGACAATGCTGCCGCACCTCTGATGAGCGCGGTTGGCAACGTGCGGTGCTTTAGAAGTTCAACGTGCACACACATGCGTGGCCAGGAAATCACATTGACTTGGACTTTTTTTCCGTTCGCGCCAACTGTGTGAACGTTTGTCTCAATATTCACGCCGTGTGGTTCGCGTTTGGCCCACGCAACACAGTGTCCCTTTGCGTGCATACATTATCCCCCTCCGCCCCCCACAAATGCCTTGAATGCAGGCAACTGTCGCGTGGGCACTTGCGCGTGCGACGCTCAACGCACCAAAGCGCGCCTTTGTGCCTTCGCATGCTTGGACGCCGTTGCCATCCATGCCGTCCGTGCCGTCCGTGCATCCGCGGTGCTATGTAGGCGGCTTCGGGAGCAGCCAGCGCACCTCCCCGCGCTGGCTGCTCATGCGCACACTTGCGCCCCGTGCATAATTTCATGCCGGTGCTAACACCTGGTGCAGTGTCTAATGTGCTTTCAAGCTTGTCTGGATGCATCCATCCGTCCGTCCGTCCGTCCTTGATTTGAATGCTTACTTTCCATCTTCAGGACTTGCCAATGTGTGCGCGTGCATGCCTGCGTGCGAGTGTGCGTGGCCTAAACGTGCACATAGCCTTGCACAAGCTCCGTGGTGACATCGCTGCCGCTTAGTGGTGAATGCTGGTTGTTGTTGTTGTGTGTGGTGTGTGTGTTTGTACGTGCTCGCACTCTTGCACACACCTATTTTGGTATCAGAGTTATTCTCATGCGGAGATTATGAACGATACAGTTGAATCCAGTTTTAATGATGACTGATCTAAGATGCACTTGTCTTCGTGACGCCTCCAGTTATTTTGTGTGTTCTTCACTGCACCAGTGTGTGCGTGTGTACGTCGTGCATGCCGATGAGCGCCCTTGTGGGTTTTGGTCCCTGTTCTACGCGCGATCCTGACAGGGCAAAGTTCTTTTCCAGGCAATGCACCAGTGCTCATCGACCTATCCCAAAGCGAGCACATGCCGGGGTGTGTAAATGTCAGCACGCAGAAGACAAAGATGGCTCTGTGTCATTTATTTGTTTCCCGCACCGCCTCGTCGCGCGCAGCGCCGGCCCTCCCTAATGGCGCGCTCTTGACAGCGCCATTGCAGGATGTAACCGTGGCGCCGTTGCCCTCGGCGACGCCAGCATTTCTGCGTTGGTCACGGCGAACGGATCGGAAGCGGGCGAGCACGGGCGTCGCCGTTTGAACGCCCGCGTGCCGCCATCTGCCCCGCAGGTGTCGGGCACGCTTCCGGAGCGGGACAGGCACCTGTCGGATCTCCTGCGCACTCTGACGGAGCTGCAGCAGGAGGTGAGGCAGCTGGGTGCCTGGACTGCCTCCACCAAGGAGCAGCTGGTGACCTTCCAGCGGGCGGGCGTTCCCGCCGACTCGTCCCTGCAGGTACGTTCCGGCCGCCTCCTCCGCCCTGCACTGACGGGGGGGGGGGGGGGGGGGCGGGGGGGGGGTCACGAGGTCACCGGGAGAAGCGGTATGGTTTATGGACCTGGCCTAACTTCTAACCACGAGCAGGGTGTCGTCAGTGTTATGATAATTATTGTTGTGATTATTATTTTAAGAGGTCCTCTAAGATTGCCAGCGATGCTGCCGTGGTGAGATGCAAATAGATGGTCATGCCCAGCAGGTGGTTTCAGCAGTCACGTGGCATCACATTTCGAGTACCTGCAAACTGATAACACCTCACTTCCAATGCATGTTTATTTTACTTTATTTGTGACGGTCAAAACTTTGGGATGCCGCTGTGGTTTCATGGTTCGCGCAGTGGACTTGTGATCCAGAGATCACAGGGTTGGATTCAAAATACCTGGCGTGGCAGTGAGACAATGGGCGCAAGCTTCTTAAAATCCTCCCTCCTCTGTCCACCCAGCGTTATGTATGGGAACAGCGCAGTGGGTCGATTGGCAGGTCGCCTGTGGTGGGGTAAAGTGTGGCTACTCCCACCTCTTCCAAGGTGTCCGACCAGTGTGGAAGTAATGCCTCAAACACCCCCTTGAGGAGAGGAGCTCTCTCGAGGTCCCTCTAGTGGGGGCCCTTCCACCAGCTGTCACGTGAGCAAGAAATTGTACGGCTGCACTTTTACACTTTCACCTTCGGTATTGTATTGAGGGAGACTCTAGTATTACCACTGCTGTCAGATCATGCAGCGAGAGGCATCGTCTTCATCATGCTTATATTATTTATATTTTTGATGTTTTTTTGGCATTTTGAATAACGCTATGGCGTATTTATAACTCCTTGCAGTATGTATTGGTGAGGTACATGATTATGATGCTTACAGCAGCCTTGCACAGCATCCCGTATTACGCATCCATTTCGCGTTTTGCTTTCAAATACAGACTTGTCTTCATGCAGCATCGCTCCCTTCGATAGAGCAACAATATAAGTGCAATGGGTTTGAGAGCTATCAGCCAGCTGCTTTTCTCCACATCTCAGAGTGCCACCACTGGGCAGACGTGGCCAAATTGAGCAAAGGTCGTTCATGGAGGCACCTTTCATCTCCTAGCGGTTTGTGAGTACACGGCAAAAATCCATTACAATATACAAGTAGACAGTCGTCTTTAAATCTTCTCATGTAATATAAAACTAAAACCTAGGATTTGAATCTTATTCCTCGGAATGTTTTTTTTTGCGGTTGCGCTGGATATCTCTCTGATGTGTTTTTTGTATTGTGCCCGCGGATGCTCTTCGACTTTAATGGCCAACGTTTCGCACCCCCCCCCCCCCCACACACACACACACACCACCACGTGCTGGGAGCTTCGTTTCTTGGGAGATTCGGTTTCTCGAAAGAACTCACGGCACGTGGTTCAGAACGTCGGACATCGTGCCGATCAACGCGCGGTGACAACCCGAAAGCACGTCGGAGAGGGATACATCATGTACCTCACAAAGTCGGTTACAAAATAATGCAGGGCATCCCACGGCATTTCCAGAAAACCGTGTTCTCCGGCTACGTGAGCCGCGTCCTTTCTCAAAGGCATCGGGCGATTGTGGCATTCGTCCCAATTACCTCTGTTCGTGATATTTGCTCAACAACTTTGCATTGGATACTCCTCCCATTTCCATCCACTTGTTCAATTTGCTCACGTTGCTTCATTCGCTGTCCTCCGGCCGGCCGTATTGCATGACACTTTACTGAATAAAATGAACTGGAATGTTTTTTTGTTATGCGTATGGTACACAGTGGTAAATTGCACAACGATGCACTGTGTAACTCATAAATTACTGTTTGGGGGGGGTGGGTGTTGCGCAACATAATACCGAGTTCAACATTTCATTAAAGTGTAATCTTTCCACCTCTTTATATTCATACGAGTTTCATAACTTTGCCTGGTGTCAATAAAATAGCATTAGGTAGCATTGCTCACATTCGAACCCTATAAGCACTGCATATGAAACAATGACCCGCCTGTGACATGCGAAAGCGTGGGCGCTTTCTTTATTTATTTACATTCAGCATGTGGATTCTTTCATACGAGCAGAGTGAAATTTCCCTGTGTTAACTATTCAGGTTTTAGTTCCCAGTATTTTTTGGTCACAGTGGCGATTCAAACGCCCTCCTCCCCCTCCCCAATTATTACACTCTCGAATGCGCCCGTTCCTTTTCATGCAGATACCCAAAAGAGACTTTTTATATATATATTTTTCATAACGACTTGGCGCCGTTAATTTCAAACTCTGGGAGATTGAAGGCCCCCCCCCCCCTCCCCCCATTAACGACTTTTGTTCAATTTGGCCGCGTGTACCCAGTAGCGAACTCCGAGATGCATGGAGGGAGGCAGTTGTGCCCGGTAGCTCTCATCCCATTTAATCTCATTTCAATTGCAGCCACTTATCATGAAGAGGTTTACGAAGCAATTATCGTCATCGGCTGCCAAGCTCCTCCGGCCACGTCCTTGGTTTACACTTCTTTCACCCGAGGCACCGACAAAGTCACGTCCCCTAATGTCCCTTTCCTCTGTGCCTCGTTTTTACCGGTTGGAAAGTAACTCGCACTCAAGGGTACGCGGCGGAAGAGGGGGGGGGTGTCTTTATGAAGACGAACTTGTCACAATACGGGATGAGGGGGAGAACTGTGTGGAAATGCGTCGTCTTGAGTGGGTGCGCGTTTACACAAACAGAAGAAGGCTGGGCGTTTTGATGCGCCGGGGAACACTCTTACAGATTTTTCCAGGAAAGCCACCGTAGTGTACGGGTTAAAAGACGCTTGGCAAAGTAAAAGACGCAACTCAAACTCACGCGCAGTGTCGACACAGTGAAACAAGTCTGGTCGCACGCACACGGCAACTGGGATTGCAAGATGCACTCCCGAATGTTGCATTAAAATACAGGACGAGGTGGGGGTACGTCTTATCGTCCAGAGAATAAGGTAGCTGTCCTTGGAAAATCAGAACACGTGCCTCTTTCTTCACACACCTCCCCGGTCAGCATGCCGCTCGTTAGTGTGCCGCTGCTAGGTGCTTAATTAGGCTTGGTATTATTGTGCTGAGTTGTCATCATTAATCCACTTGCACCACAGTGGTTCTGTTCATCGCACACACCCCCACCCCTCTTCCCCCTCCGTAAGCTTGACCCCGCGCCTGGCTCCACCGTGGAGAAAAGGACGCGAGGGCCGCGTATCACGAACTACAGGGTGCTTGAAAACATTGTTAACACCTCTCAGAATTTGCAACAAATGGCACCGCGCTCAACTGAAGGAAAGGTCTTCTCTTTTTTTAGTTTGTTTTCCTGCGGAGTTTCTGCTGATTCTTCCGTGTGCAAATTCTCGCGGAATTTTGGTAATCCACGTGGAAGCAATGGAAGATATTAAATAAATATCAGTTAATCAATTTTGAATTATCTTGGGCTTAAAATGGCAAGTGGGAAGAAAATGTGACTCGTAATTTCCACATCTCGTATTAAAATGACGTTCACAATTCAACAAATTTTTCACACAGGAAATGCTTTGATGTAAACTAATCTACCCTTTCATCTTATATTCAGTAAATACAAAAGTTAGATTTTTTTCTTCTTCTTGATAGTGTTTTGCCCCTGGGATGTTTTTCTTATTTTCCCTTCCCTCATCTGCTTATTAAACATCAATATTTTAAATGTAAAATGAGAAAATTAATTTGCGCTCGATACCTCTCTTCCGCCACTTGCTAAAGGCTGCCCTGGATATTCGCGAAACAATAACGACGTCGTGGCCCGACGTGTCAAAAACCCTCACACCTACACGTGCCTCGCTCACGGCGTGCCACCGTCACACCTACACGTGCCTCACTCACGGCGTGCCACCGTCACACCTACACGTGCCTCATCTCACGGCCACAACCCTCACACCTACACGTGCCTTGCTCACGGCGTGCCACCGTCACACCTACACGTGCCTCGCTCACGGCGTGCCACCGTCACACCTACACGTGCCTCATCTCACGGCCACAACCCTCACACCTACACGTGCCTCGCTCACGGCCACAACCCTCACACCTACACGTGCCTCGCTCACGGCGCGCCACCGTCACACCTACACGCGCCTCGCTCAGATTACCGGGTTCTTTTGTAATCCCGTTAAGGACACGACGAGTGACGCGCAGACACACAGACACACACGCACTTATTGACACGCGCGCTGCACAAAATGCAAAGCTGCTCGAAGCGCTCGTCTCGCTTGTTGAACGCATCTTCGGTTGTAGCCACACGTGTGCCCGGACCTCGCAACAAAAAAAGTGCTGGCTTTGGTTTTACGACTTCGACTTGAGTTGCCGGGGCCAAAAATCGTTTCCTTTGCGCCGTGGATAGGCAATGTCGCACCGCTCGATGCCTCGTTGAACTCCCAAGTTTTTTATTTCATATAAACAAGGTTCTAAGGTAACGCCCTGCTGTACCCGACAGCACCTTTGTAAAGGAATGGAAAAAGCAACAGGTTTGCAATACGTAACGGCTCAACCAAAAAATTGGTTTGGGCAAACATCAGTACCATGGTAATTTCATTGTTGCAGGGGCAACATTCAAAGGAGGTTATTGCATTTTGTGTGTGCATGCTGATTTTCACGTATTTAACTTCAGCTCAATTGTTGGACATTACACTTCAGCCCTGAAGCAATCATTTTGCCTCCCCTTTGCATATGAGCTTGGCGCGTATTTCCCGCTTTATTATGCACGTGGTTCTCGGGGTGTTTATAGTATCCTTCAATTAAAGTACTACATGAATAGAAGGCTATAGATGCTATTTTACTGCGTGTCATAAAAGCATAACGTTGGGGATACCTATAAAAGACGAACATTGCTGTATCAATGTACGCTGCAGCAATCAGCTATGAAAGCGATGGAAGGCAATGTATTGAAAAAAAAAACCCTCCATATGGCGTGAAGGACAGTGGTTATTTACATCAGCTCTCGTT